TAGCTGGGCGGGGCTCCGCGGCCCGCGCAGGTGGACCTGGCTGTTCTGCGACCCGCCTGGCAGAACGAAGTGTCAACGCCACGCGTGGGCACCACTGAGCAGGTGGAAGAGAACAAACGGGGCCCACCTGTACGCGCCTCCAGAAACGCGCTCCTTTCCCCAAAGGTTTCAGGAGCTCACGGGACTGGAAATACGGTAATTCGTCCAGGCAGTACAGAAACAAAGAGAGAAATATGGTAACGCGCACCCACATTTCCTAGCCCATTCAGCACACTACATTAAGTATGTTGTAGATGCGGAGACCTAATGATACACAGGTGAATAAAACGCCCAACTCGTATCTCAATGTTGGAAGACAGGAAATTGTTAAAATAAAAAATATCATTGCCACTCCATGAAAAGATTCATTTAAGTGAAACTTGTAAAAGAGAGACCTCCCTCTTTGTAGGCTTTCTTCCTAGTTTTGAAGAAATTAACCAAACTAATTTTTAAAAGAAAAAGTCAGGTTTGTGAAACCGCACTCGATCTTAAGTTTGGTTACTACTGCTGAGCTGGAGAAAAAAATAAAAAGAAAGTGGTTCAGTAGAAATTGTCTGTCGATCCACGATACTAGCAATGTTCCTGACTCGAAGTAAGCGATCAATAGTTGTGGAGTGAATAAGTGAATTAGATTAAATCTGCTTCGGCTCTCCCAGTCCCTCTCCCATCTCCACTCCCGCTTAAGTGGTTGCGAAACAGAAAGGAAATGCTAACCATTCAATTGTAAATACAGGCCTGCGGCCACAGTCTAATTGGAAGGTACAAGCCTGAATCCCTGCTTAAAAGTTTGCCAGCCAAAGGTAGCTGCAATCCCCGACACCAACATGCAACGGAACTGAGTTTTAACCCCGTCCCCTAACTTTACTCTGAGGGAGAGAGGCTAAGGAAGGGGTTAACATTATATTATTAGAAATGCGGAAAGGAAAAAAAATGAGTCTTTCAGTGAACAAAACTGCTCTCCCTCACAAATGCTGGTTTTCTAGAAAGGAGAATGCACACTTCCTATTTTTCTTCTTCCCACTACCACAAAGCCAAAGCTCTTCAAGTCACTTAGCGCGCTTCAAAATGACCCCTCCGAGGAGCTGTAGAGGTGATGTCATCGCAGCGCGACAGCAGGAAGTAAGCTCCTGACCTACTGTGCAGCGCCGCACCTGACAGCTCTGAGATCTCTGCTCCAATCGCGGCGGCGATGGACAATGCCCGAGAGTCGCCGGCGGACAAAGGTGGAGAGACAGGGGAGTCAGATGAGACGACCGTTCCTCCCGGTGTCCCCGGGACTACCGACAACGACGGAATCCCAGAGGAAACGGATGGAGATGGAGATGCGGACTTGAAAGAAGCCGCAGCCGAAGAAGGCGAGGTAGGAACTTGTGTTGAAGCTGGAGAAGTAATCCGAGATTATGTTACTGTATAGAAACAAAGAGAGAAATATGGTAACGCGCACCCACATTTCCTAGTCCATTCAGCTTGCCCTGCTTCCTGGGTTAGTCCCTGCCAAACTAGAAGAACTCAAAACTCACCACGACTCTTAAGTCGGCGATCTCGAGGTGGGTAGGAGGGGACGACCGAAGTCTAGTGCTGCTGCGAGGCCAAGCACTGGATTTGTATTTTTGATCATTGCCTTTAAAGCTACTTGTAAGGGAATTCAAATAGCCTCGTGGTTTTCCTAGAATCAGATATCACACTAAGATTTGGTGCAAGAACTAGAACTCAAGATTCAGAGCATTCCTTCCACCACAATATGGTCCCTCTTGGATGTTGTTTAAGCAGTTTTTGTCTTTAAAGGTGGCAGAGTCGCTCAGATCCATTAAAGGGAGTTTTTCGGATTTTGGTTTTAGTTTTTTTGTTTTGTTTTGTTTTTGTTCTGGGGGTTGAACACAGGGGTACTTAACCACTGATCCCCACCCTCCGTCCCCAGCCTTTTTTTTGAAACGGAGTCTTAACTAAGTTGCTGAGAGTGCCCTCTTGCATTCGTCCTACCTCAAACTCTCCAGGCTGTTGGCTTACAGGCCTCTGTCCACCCCACCTGGAAAAAGGGAGGTTTTTAAAGAGTTAATGGTTAAATCATGTTCTTACCCTTTTGGACATTTAACTGTTATCAGTGACATGGATACTAATGTCCAGGGCTAGCAACAGCAGAAAAACCCCAGAGTAATCAGTTGTGCCACCCAGAAGCTCAGCAATATTGCCTAGCTAAGCATCAGTCAGAAGATCAGAATCTCAGCATTCTCTGAGTTCCATTTCTGGAGGTAGAATCTCTGAGTCTTAGAATTAGGAAGGACTTAAGAAATCAGGAAGTTAGTATTAAATTAGATAGACTTTCAGAAATAGACTTTCAGAACATAAAGTTACAACAAATATATAAAGTAAGAACTTATAGAAAAAGAGAAAAATGGGCCAAAACTACGTGAACAAGGAAGCTTTAAACAGGTCTCAAGGACAGAAAGATTTTGATTAATTGGCTTAGTTGGCTAATAGAGTCCACTATATATAGAAACCCACGCCCAAAAGATATGAAATTGTAATGCTTCTAAATATAACACCACCACCCCTATTTTGAGACAGGGTCTCACTAAGTTGTCCAGGCTGACCTCAAACTTGGAATCCTCCTGCCTCATCATCCTTCTGAGCAGCTGGGATTTATAGGTATGCACTACTGTGCCAGGCCTTAGAAAACAAATTCCTAAAAGTAGAAATCATAACAGGTCACATCCTATTAATATATTGCAAAAAGCCTGAAATTAACAGTGAAAAACTTTCTCCTTCAAAAAAGAAAACACTAACCCCCAAACATTGTTAAGCCATTTTTAAAATAGCCCTTAGGTTAAAGAAATAAACAGAGGGGCTGGAGATGTGGCTCAAGCGGTAGCGTGCTCGCCTGGAATGCGTGCGGCCCGGGTTCGATCCTCAGCACCACATACCAACAAAGATGTTGTGTCCACCGAGAACTAAAAAATAAAATATTAAAAAATTCTCTCTCTCCTCTCTCACTCTCTCTTTAAAAAAAAAAAAGAAAGAAATAAACAGAACACTACACTATATTCTATGGGATTTAACCAAAACCTTCTTTAGAAAAAATTCATAGCCTTACATATTTTAAAAATAAGCACCCAATTCATAAAACCAGAAGCATACAAAATAAACCAGAAGAGTATAGGAAGAAATTAACAAGGATAAAAATAGATTCTAATGAATTCTCACTTAAACAAACATAGGAAGCCAGGTACACAGGCACATGTCTGTAGTTCCAGTAGCTCAGGAGGCTGAGGATCAGGAGTTCAAAACTTCAGCAACTTGGAAAGGCCCTAAGAACTCAGTTGAATAAAATATTTTAAAAGGGTTGGAGATGTGCTTCAGTGGTAAAGTACCCCTGGGTTCAATACTTGGTACCAAAACAACAACAACAAAAAAAAAAAAATAGGAGCTGAGGGTGTATAGCTCAGGGATACAGAACAAGTCCAAAGCCCTGGGTTTGATCTCTAGTACCACCAAAAGGAAAAGAATATTTAATTTTTGAGTTTAAGCCAAGTAAATGTGAAAAATCCAAGAAAACATGAATAATTTTTTAGGAAAATATAAACAGTCAAAATTGAGGCACAGAGTTAAAAAAAATCTTGTATAAATCAGTAATTAGAAAGAAATTGAAGATCACCAAAGATATGCAGACTTGCTGGGTTCAATGATGCACGCCTATAATGCCAGCAACAGGAGGCTGAGGCAGGAGGATTGCAAGTTCAAGGCCAGCCTTAGCAACTTAATAAGGCCCTAAGCAACTTAGCAAGACTCTGTCTCAAAATAAAAAATAAAAAGGGGTATAGATATAGCTCAGCGGTAAAGTGCCCCTGGGTTCAATCCCTAGTACCAAAAATAGATTCAGACTTCATGCCCACCTATCTCCCATATTCTTTTGTGAGTTTAGATCTGAGTTCCTCTTTAAGGGAGACAAATCTTATTGAAGAGTTTTGTGGTATACTTAAAATTCCATATTAAGTTGGAGGGGACAAAATTTAGATTTGATTTTGTTCTTATTAAGCCAATTTATTAAACATCAAGCATGATGTTAAGTGGTTATGGGGGAGATATATGCATAATAACAGACAAAACTATCTTTAAAATATTTTTGTTCTATGATGAATGGGTGATAGAAGTCAGGAAAGAAATTTAAAAATTTTTAGACTCAGCCAGGTACAGTGGCATTCGCCTGTAATCCCAGCAGCTTGGGAGACTGAGGCAGGAGGATTGTGAGTTGAAAGCCAGCCTCAGCAAAAGTGAGGTGCTAAGCAAGTGGGTGAACCCTGTCTCTAAATAAAATACAAAATACAGGCTTGGTGGCAGAGCCCTTGCCTAGCACATGTGAGACACTGGGTTTGATTCTTAGCACCACATAAAAATAAACAAAATAAAGGCATGCTGTCCATCTACAACTACAATAAAATAAAACAAAACAAAATAAAATACAAAATAGGGCTGTGGAGGTGGCTCAGTGGTGGAGTGCCCCTGAGTTCAATCCCTGGTACAAAAAAAAAAAAAAAATTCTTAGACACAAATGAGAATAGTGATACAATATGCCAGAACCTTTGAGATGCTATGAAGGCAGTTCTAAGAGGAAAGTTGATAGATATGCGTTCCTACACTAAAAAATCAGAAAGATCCCAAATCAACAACCTAATGATACATCTCAAAGCTCTTGAAAAAGAAAAATAAACCAATTCCCAAACCAGTATAAGAAAAGAAATAATTGAGAGCCAAAATCAACGAACCAAGATCAATGAGCAATATAAAGGATCAATGAAGAGTTGGTTCTTTGAAAAGATAAGCAAGATTGATAAGCTGTTAGCCAAGCTAACCAAAAGAAGAAGAAGATTCAAATTAATAAAATTACAGATGAAAATGGAGATATCACCACAGATCATAGAAATCCAGCAAATCATTAGGGACTATCTTGAAAATATTTTCCAAAATTGGAAAACCTAGAAGAAATGGATACATTTCTAGACAAATATGATCTGCCAAAATTGAATCAAGAGGACATAGAACACCTAAGTAGACCAATAATTTGTAATGAGAAGGAGCAATAAAATTCTTCCAACAAAGAAAAACACAGGACAAGATGGATTCTCAGCTGAATTGTATCAGGCCTTTAAACAATACCTAATGCCAATGCTTCTCAAATTTTTCCATAAAATAGAAAGGGATGAAACACTTCCAAATATATTCTGTGAAGCCAGTATAACACTTATACCAAAACCATATAAGGCACATCAAGGAAAGAAAACTACAGACCAATATCTCTGATGACCTTAATAGTTAATAAAATATTAGCAAATTGCATTCAACAACATATTAAGAAGATTGTACATCATGACTAAGTTGGTTTTATTCCAGATGCAAAGATGGTTTAACATATACAAATCAATAAATGTAATTCATCACATAAATAGAATTAAAGACAAAAATCCTGTATTCATCTTGATAGATACAGAGATGTCCTTTGACAAAATTCAGCACTCATTTCATGATAAAGCATTAAAAAAAAATAATGAATAGAAGGAACCTACCTCAACATTATAAAGGCTATATGTGAAAAGCCCAAAACCAATCTTATAATAAATGGGAAAAAGCTAAAAAAGCATTTCCTTTAAAATCTAGAACAAGTCAAGAATGTCTGCTCTCACCACTCCTATTTAATATAGTGCTAGAAATTCTAACCAGCGCAATTAGGCAAGAGAAGGAAATAAAAGGAATAAAAATAGGAAAGGAAGTAGTCAAATTGTCACTGTTTGCAAACGATATGATCCTATACTTAGTCCAGAAAAAATCCATCTAAAGACTGTTAGAGCTAATAAACAAATAATTAGTTTTCTCAGCACCAATTGTTAAAAAGGCTGTTTTCTCTAATGTATGTTTTGACACCTTTGTTGAGGATCAGATGACTATAGATGTGTAGGTTTGTCTCTGTGTCTTGTATTCTGTACCACTGGTCTACATGTTACAAAATAAACATACAAATATCCATAGCTTTCCTATATGCCAACAATGAATTTTCTGAGAAAGAAATTAGGAAACAATTCCATTTACAACAGCTTAAAAAAAAAAAACCTGGGAATAAATCTAACCAATGAAGTGAAAGACCTCCACAATGAAAACTATAGAACATTGAAGAAAGAAATTGAAGCCCTCAGAAGGTAGAAAGACTTCCCATGTTCATAAATAGGCAGAATTAATATTGTTTAAATGACTGTACTACCAAAAGCAATATGCAGATTCGATATGCAGATTCAGTGCAATTTTCCTCGATATACCAATGACTTCTTCACAGAACTAGAAAAAAACACTCCTGATTTCATTTGTAAGAACACAAAAGACCAAGAATAGCTAAAGGATTCTTTGTCAAAAAAGCAATGCTGGGGGCTAGAGCTGTGGCTCAGTGGTAGAGCACTTGCCTAGCATGTGTGAGGCACTGGGTTCGATTCTCAGCACCACATATAAATAAATGAATAAAATAAAGGTCCATCAACATCTAAAAAGAAAAATTTAAAAATAAATAAATGAATAAAGCAATGCTGGAAGCATCACTATACCTGATTTCAAATTATACTACAGAGCTATGGTAACAAAATTGTATGGTATTAGATAAAAAAACAGACATATAGACCAGTGGTACAGAATAAAAGACATAGAGACAAACTCACACAGATGCAGACATCTGATTCTTGATTAAAGTGCCAGAAACATACACTGGAAAAAAGACAGCCTTTTAAAGAAATGGTGCTAGGAAAACTTACTATCCATATGAGGAAGAATGAAACTAGACTCTTATCTCTCACTCTGCCCAAAAATCAACTCAAAATGGATCAAAGACCTAGGGATTAGACCAGAAACTATGCAATTCCGAGAAGAAAATGTAAGATCAATTCTACAGTACATAGGGACAGACAGTGACTTTCTCAACAGGACCCCTAAAGCTCAGGAAATAATGCCAAGAGTTAATACATGGGATGGGATAAAATTTAAAAGCTTCTATGCAGCAAGGAAACAATTAGGAATGTGAAGAGAGAATCTACAGAATGGGGGAAAAAAATCTTTCCTAGCTACTGTTCTGACAGAGGATTAATAATATAGAGAGCTCAAAAAACTTTACACCACACACAAAAAAAAATAAACCATTTAATAATGGGCAAATGAATTAAACACTTCTCAAAGGAAGAAATACAAATGGACAACAAATGCATGAAAAATGTTCAGCATCATTAGCAATTAGGGAAATGCAATCAAAACTACACTGAGATTTCATCTCACATCAGGCAGAATGGCAGTCATCAAAAATACAAATAATAATAAATACAGGAAAGGATGTGGAGAAAAAGGTGTACTTTTACACAGTTGGTTAGACTATAAATTAGAACAACCACTATGGAAATCAGTATGGAGATTCCAAAAAAGACTAGGCGTGGAACCACCATGTGACCCAGATACACCATTCCGTGGTATTTATCCTAAAGAATTTAAAGTCAGCACACTGTGGATACATGCATACCTGGGTTTATAGCAGCCCAATCCACAGTAGCCAAACTATGGAATCAGCTTAGGTGTTCTTCAATAAATGAACAGATAAAGAAAATGTGATGTATATCTACACAGTGGAGTTTTATTCAGCCATTAATAAAAATGAAATTATGTCATTTATAGGGAAATTCATGGAACTAGAGAGCCATATGTTAAGCAAAATAAGCCAACTCAGAAAGTCTAGGGTCGAATGTTTTCTCTCATATGTGGAAGCTACAGAGGGAAAAGGAAAACAAAGTGGGGAGGGTGGGGATCTCATGAAAATCAAAGGGGGATCAGTAGAGGAAGTTTGGGGTGGAAGGCAGGAGGGAAGAAAAGAAGTGCTAGAGAGTGATATCGGCCAAATTGTATTGTGATATTGTGTGTATGTAACAAATCCCATGATTATGTATAACGATAATGTACCAATAAAAAGGGGGGAAAGAAAAAATTTTTGTTCTAGTAAGGGGAAATATATTTGCATGATATGGGACTGAAGAATAGGAAGAAAAGAACACTATGTGGAGGAGAATCTCATTGAAAGTTCCAAATTGAAAGAAACATTGTTTTGATGACAAGAGACCCTTTTTTTTTTTTTTTTACTATTTTTTTCCATGTGGAATCATTAGCAGTAAGGAGATATGTAGCTCTAGAGACAAAATTGCTAGCTGGATGGGGAGGACTTTGATGACATCCCCTTAAAAGAACAAGGTCAGAAGAGGGGGCCCAGGAGAGAGTGGTTGTTTTGATCTTTGACATTTCATAAACAGGTACTGAGCTATGATCATAGCTAAACTGGAAAACTGGATTATTTAGCTAGTTTTCTTTCACAGCTGGTCTATAATCTTTCTTTAGGAAATATATTGTATTTTACTCCTGATGGTACAGTCAGTGCCTAGAACCAAAAAAACTACTCAATAAATGGATTTGTTGTTGTAATGTGTTTTAACCTTGCCCAAGCCTGCAAAGTAGGCCAAATATATAATAGGGTTTCTCTTGTCTTCCCAGCTGAAGAGTCAGGATATTTCAGATTTAACAGCAGTTGAAAGGGAAGACTCATCATTACTTACTCCTACAGCCAAAAAATTGAAAATAGATACCAAAGAAAAGAAAGAGAAGAAGCAGAAAGTGGATGAAGATGAGATTCAAAAGATGCAGTAAGTCCCTTTCCAACCATTTCCATTTTGAGGCTCTAACATGACCACACAAATTTAATAATTTTTTGGCCTTTAAAAATGTTTTTTTCCTTTTTTAGATTTTTAAAAAGGCAATTAATGTATTATAGAAAATATAAATAAAATGAAAAAATATTTTCTTACCACCATGAGATACATACTGCTAATATTATGATATTTCATATATATATTCCATAAATAAAATTAAATAATTTATTTTTCAAACACAAATACTATGATGGGTTTTTTTAATTTACTTATATATTTTTTAGTTGTAGATGGACACAAACTTTATTTTATTTGTTTTTATTTTTATGTGGTCCCGGGGATCAAATCCAGTACCTCATTCATGCTAGAAAGCTCTCTCCCACTGAGCCATAAACCCCGGCCCCTATGATGTTTTTGACATTATAAATGGTGAATGTTTTTCATGTCAGTAATTAAAACATGTAGCTTATAATTTTCTTCAAAAAAACTATTATAGCTGAGTGCTGTAGCTCATGCCTATAATCCCAGTGTCTTGGAAGGCTGAGGCAGGAGGATCTGAGTTAAAAGCCAGCCTCAGCAATTTAGCAAGGCCCTAAGCAACTCAGCAAGACACTATCTCTAAATAAAATATAAAAAAAATGTTGGGGATGTGGCTCAGTGACTAACTACCTCTGGGATCAATTCCTGGTACCAAAAAAAAAGAACTATTATAGCCAGGCATGGTGGTATGTGCCTATAATCTCAGCCACTCTGGAAGCTGAAGGTTGCAAGTTTGAGGCCAGCCTCAGCAACTTAGCAGGACCCTAAGCAATTTAGTGGAATCTTATCTCAAAAAATAAAATGGGCTGAGGATGTAGCTCAGTGGTAAAGCTCCCCTGACTTTAATCCCTAGTATAAAAAAAAATCTATCATTTCTGACTGAAATAGTATGAGCTCATTGTAAATAAATCAGAAAATACAAAAACAGAAAAAAGTGCCCATAAGCCTACCACCCAGGGTTTATTCTAAGCATACACACACACAATCTTGGGTTTAATATTTGTGTATATATGTTTCAGATATTTTTTGCATTTGACTGGTAGAGCTCAATATTTTTATGTCAGTAATTATGCCCATAAATCTTTTTTTTTTTTTTTTTTTACATACTAGGGATTGAACATGGGAAAACTCTACCACTGAGCTATGCTTTTTTAGTTTTTTATTTTGAGGCAAGTTCTCACTAAATTGCCCAGACTGGTCTCAAATTTGCAATCCTCCTGCCTCAGCCTCTCGAGTAGCTGGGATTACAGGCATGCACCATCACACCTATCGTGTGTTATCATTTTTAATAGTTGAATTCTATTCCATTGTGTGGATGAATCATAATTTAACCAATCCTTGTAATCATTTTGTTTGGGTTATTTTTTTTTTCCTTTTGACAACACTGTGATGTATCCTTGGACACACTGTTGCATATTTTTCTATTACTCTCTAAGATAAACTCCTAAAAGTATAATTAATAGTTCAAACATATGAAAATTTTTCAGTCTTTCCATACATATTTTCAAATTTTTAAAAAATGTTTTCTTGCTGGGCGCAGTGGCACACGCCTATAATCTCAGCAGTTCAGGAGGCTGAGAGAGGAGAATCATGAGTTCAAAGCCAGCCTCAGCAAAAGTGAGGCACTAAACAACTCAGTGAGACCCTATCTTTAAATAAAATACAAAATAGAGCCTGGGATGTGGCTTAGTGGTTGAGTCCCCCTGAGTTCAATCCCTGGTACTCACCCTCCAAAAAAAAAAAAAAAATGTTTTCTTGCCAGGAGCAATGGCAGAGGCCTATAATCTCAGCAATTTGGGAAGCTGAGACAGGAGAATCCAGAGTTCAAAGCCAAACTCAGCAATTTAGCAAAGCCCTAAGCAATTTGGTGAGACCCCGTCTCAAAATAAAAATTAAAAAATGGGGTGAGGAGCTGGGGATGTGGCTCAGTGGTTAAGTGACCCTGGGTTCAATTCTCAGTACCAATAATAATAGTAATAATAAATTTAAAAAATAAAAAAAAGTTTTATCATTTTTAATTTCCTTAGTTAATATTGAAGGATATTTTTTTCTCCATATTATTAGCCTATGATATTTTTGTAAACTTCCTGTTCATTTCCTAAAATTTATTTGGCCATTTATGTATTAAGAGTATTAATTGCTTTCTAATATTTTGTAAATATTTTTCTCCTAAACTGGGTATGGCAGTATGTGCCTATAATCCCAGCTGCACTGGAGGCTAAGTCAGGAGGATTGCAAGTTTGAGACCAGCCTAGACAACTGAGCAAGGCTGTCTCAAAAATAAATATGAAGGGAAAATAAATAAATAATTTTTAAAGGATTTAAATTTAAAAAATGAATAAATAAATAAGAAGGGGTTGCGATATAGCTCAGTGGTAAAGGGTCCCCTGAGTTCAGTCCCCAGTATTAAAAAAAAAAAAATTATTGTAAATCAGTTAGTATTGAAAATACTGGTTTGAATATGAGTTTATACATTAAATATTTACCATCAATGTGAAATGCTGTAAAGTGGAATTAGAGTCTAAAGCTGAAATCACCATATATCTAGTATGAGACAGTGATCCTACATCATTAAGTTTAAAACGAGATTGTTTCACACTTTGTCAAGTTCCTTAGTAATAGAAATGTTTTAATTCTGTTTTTTATAAGTACGAAAACTAATGCCATTGACTCCTTGAGAATTTATTTCTTCATGTCCAAAACTTGTTTTTTGTTCCTAGATTTTCTTAGTGGTGCTTTATAGTTGTGCATCATGATGGGATTTGTTATTCACATATTCATACATGTACACAATGTAAAAATATAATTGGGCCAATATCACTCCCCAGCACTTTCCCCTACCTCCCACCTCTGGTCCTTTTCCTTACTGACCTTCCTATGATTTTTATGAGATTCCCTCCTCCCACCCCAATCTTTCTTTTTCTTTTCCCTCTGTAGCTTCCACATAGGAGAAAAAACATAAAACCCTTGACTTTTTGAGTTTGGCTTATTTTGTTTAACATAATGGAGAGATTCGTTTTTATTGATTTAATATCTTCAGCATTCATTCTTAGTAGCCAATTTAATTACTTGAATCTTTGTCTAGAATCCTGGTTTCTTCCTTTTCTGAGGAGCAGCTGAACCGATATGAAATGTATCGCAGGTCAGCTTTCCCTAAGGCGGCCATTAAAAGGGTAAGGATGAACCACCACTCTTCATCTCCACACGTCAAAACGAAACCAGGCTCAATAGCTATGACCCTCAGCATTTTGAAGCAACATATTAAGCAAACTGGTGGATTAATTAGGCAGGAAATTAAAAATAACATACCCTTCAATTATGTAATCAGTTCCAGTTTTGTAAGCCAGGGAGCATAGAGAGCATAACATACATGAATCTTTGTCTCAATTTTAGCATGCCACCTTTAGTAAACACTTTTTCAGTACAGAGCTGTTTTTTATTGGTACTGTATTTCAAAGCCAGTCCTTGACTATCTTAATTAGTCTTTGTCCTTTTTTTAAGCTGATCCAGTCCATCACTGGCACCTCTGTGTCCCAGAATGTTGTTATTGCTATGTCTGGTATTTCCAAGGTTTTCGTCGGGGAGGTGGTTGAAGAAGGTGAGTAGTGTTGGTTACATGTACAGGACTGTACCTGTGTTAGTCTTATTTTCAAGAACATTTACACTGAGGAACTTACCAAAGTACCTGTGGGAGTAAATTTGCATTGGAAGTTCACTACACTGGAAGCCTTATATTCAGTAGAGCTTGACCACTCTTTCTTAAAAGTTTAAATACTAGGGGTCAAGGAATCATCTAGGAAACCCCTCTCCCTGATTCCTGTTCTTAACCCAGGTGACAGAAGCAGATGTTGTATTATTCACATGCAGACCTCGTTTCTGCTGCCAAAAATATACAAAAAGAGCAGTCACCAGAACTGAGCAGTGTAGCGTGGCAAGTTATCCCTGATTTTGTCACCCCTGGGAACTGCTCTTTTCTATCAAGCTAAAAACCTGGCTACTTCCCATTGCTCATCTCTAGCTCATGACATCTTTCTTTAAGCAGGAGATGTTTTAAACGGTTGCCAATGATAAAGCTCAGTATGGGACATTATACTAAAGGAACATGATACACTTGGTCACATTCTCATCAGAATGGAAAATGTTAGTAAGCCTAAGAAGGGTTACCAGGAATTAAAGATTCTGGAGGATTATATGGTGAATGAGTAAGTTCTCGTGTGATAATGAAGCTTTCCCCTTTCCCTTTTTAGCGCTGGATGTGTGTGAGAAGTGGGGAGAAATGCCACCACTACAACCCAAACACATGAGGGAGGCAGTTCGGAGGTTAAAGTCAAAGGGGCAAATCCCCAACTCGAAGCACAAAAAAATTATCTTCTTCTAGACCAAAGCCTGGAAAAGCCAATTATGGAGACAGGAGTACTGGTTCCAGACTTCCTGTTATGTGAGACTTTCAGCCCTGGTGCTTTGGTATCTGTCCTCCAAGGAATCCATGATGATTTTAATGTCTTTCTCCCATCTTGTTTCTGTCACACCTAGAAGGCATGTGGCCTGCTTCATACTTGCCTTGACTAAATTTTGGAACCTCTTACAGCATTTTGAGGTATTTAACTGTCTCTTGGCTAGTTGGAAGAGAAGTGTATGAGCCTTCTGCATCTTCTGGAAAGGGGAGCTGCTTTCAGAGAGAGAAAACCTTTCCAAGAGAACTTTGATGGTTTCACATTGAAGCCTAAATTTGCCGAGACTTGGCTTATGTCTGGTTTTAAGTAGATGAAACAACCGAAACTTTTGACTTACAATTCTCTACTGTGAAGGACACAGTGATAACAGGAGTAGTGGAATAATTTGTGCTTGTTAATATTTAAGATTCTCCTGTGGATTTTGGTGAGTGATCATTAAATTTTTTCAACTTGCTGTGTGTGTATTCATTTTGTATCAAGCTGATTGGAATGGGAATAAATTCATCACTTTTTTTTTTTTTTGGTGTCCAAATAAAACTGGTCTTGACTTTTTTGTGAAAATTTGTGAGCCCTTTCCATTTTCTATTAGAACCAGTAGAATTTTTAAATCATGCAAGAATACTTCAAACACTGTTAAAAAAAAAACATGTAAGAAAGCCCATGTGAATCAGACCCCTATAAACAGGTATGCCACAAACAATATTGTTTAATAAGTTTAATATGCTTTTTTTTTTTCCAGATGGTTCACAGAACCAGTACACTCAGGGTTTGATTAGATGTTGCAACATTAAAATTTCCCAATACTGACCAGGTTTCCAGTTTGTTGCATACATTCTCATTGTTTTCCTCAAACAGAGGGGAATGGAGCGAGTGACCTTTCCTCTACAGTGATTAGCAGTAATAAGGCCACTGTATGTACTTGGCAATCCCCCAGAATTCTTTACATCTACCGTTCAGTGGCATAGGGAGAAGGATTTTGAGGCTGTTGTCTTTCAAAGCTTTCCTGAGCATGACTTTAAGATTCCAATCCTGTTTAGCACCCTGAGTGGAGGAAACAGCTTGAACTTATGAACTGGGACACATCTGACTTTTAGTATCTTACATTTAAAAACTCACGGCTTTAAGCACATACTTAGCCAGTGAAGACATTTCTTCACAAAGAAATGCTACAAGTCAGGCTAAATCTTGACTAAAAATGAATAAACTGAGTAAAAAGACATCTTTCCACTCTAACAGGAAATTTTTTTAAAACAGTTATAGGAACTTTACCTATCACCATTATTAGAGATATTGGATAAGCTGAAACGATAAATAACAAGTAAGGAAAATCAAAGTCCGGCCACTTAGCAAGGCCTCACTGTTGCAGGTTGTCCGAGTGTTTCCCCTAGTGCCACAGGAAACAAAATACTTTCCATAATATCTACTGTGCTATCCTACCCAGAAATGAATGGAATATTCCTGTTCTGGCTGGGGGAGCAATGAGGCAAAAGGCCCTAGTCTCTGAAAGGATGGTACATCACACCCGAGTCTCTGAAACAGTTAATGGGGGGAAAATCCCTAGTGTAAAGGTTTGAAATGGAAAGTTCCCATCTGGCAATACTTCAAACTATCTTCTACCACTCTGTTTCCCCCTAAGGAAGAATTAGTGTGCATTAGTTAAGTGGAAGCATTTAAGTTATGGGGTTTGTTGGGGGAGGGTTATCCCTTGTATATTCCACATAGATACCATGCTTTCAGAACCATGGAAAAGGAGACACAAAGGTTGAGGCCATGGCACAATGAAGGTCAAATGAAATATACAGCAAAAAGCAGCCATCACGTGAATAGAACCACTCCTATCTTAAAATCAAAAACTAAATTAATTATTCCAGTGAGTTGAAAACAATTTGAGATTGCCAACCATCCCTGCAGCCCAGTGAAGAGGATTTACACTCTAGTCTGTGTGCCCTAAAGCTTATCCCCAGTTCCTGCATGTAAACAAGAAATCTTGATGATCACAGATAATATAGTTGTTCTACAGCTGAAATGATGATGTGCAGTAGCTAAAGCCTCTGAGGGACGGTGGTGCTATCCTCCCGACATTTTCTTGAGGTACTATTATTTCTGGTTCAGTCTTGCAGTTCCAAAGCAGAAAGCATAAACAGTTCAAAAGGGCTGACACTACTTTTTCCTTGTTATTTTCTTTTGAACTTATTCTGAAGATTACCACTAGTTCATACTTCATTATGAAAAGGTTATCATCACCCAATGAATAAGAGTATAAAGTTACACAAGATAATTTTTACTAAAATTCCAACGAATAATGAATCCTACCACATTTTCCTGAGGGTAATTTCAAGACAATGGCCCAAGCTGCCACATAAGAAAAGTCAGAAATTCTAAGACTCCATTTGTCACATGGACAAGAATTCCAGACTCCTTCAGAGAACCCAGAAAACACACAGCTCTGGCCATTAAGAGGTCATCCTTGGTACTTGCTGGATGTGTTTCTACTTTAAGTTTAAGGCATACCAAGCAATGCCTACTAGTCACATCTTTGCATGGAGGGATGCCAGAGGAATATGGAGGGCAAGGCAGGAAGCAGAGAAAGAGAATTAGAATGTGATTTTAAATGACTTCAGGGGAGCCTGAGGTTGAATAATTCTATTTTCTGGCTACTGAATCTCATCCCTCTACTTTTCTCCAAGAACATCAGAAATGCACACTTGAGAGGACTAGTGATCTACTCAGCTCAACGTCCTGCCCTTGAAAGAAGGACTACCAGGACTTTGAGGAGGGATGTCACCTCTCAGTTGTTGATCACCGAACAGCCCCAGTTTCATATCATTCCCTTTTGGGGACAATCGTACAGGGATTCCTTTTAAGCCTTCTGCATTCACACTTAGATTCTGCAGGTGACCCTTCTTAAAACAATCAGGTTTCCCAATTCTTTTAACCAAGGTGATAAGGCAGAGCCTTAAAGCTAGAATTTCAGGACGACTGGATCCTTGCTCCCGCCTGGATATGTGACCAAACACTGTTTTCGTTCTTGTTGAACACAGTTCACATCTTAAAAGATGTGTCACACAGAATATTTTTGCTCTTCTCTGGACCTTTCCTCCCTTCACCATATACTTGATAAATAAGATCTCTAGAGATACACAGATCATTTAAGATGTACCCACAGTCTGTATGAGGTACAGTGATGTTTGCACCCCTTCGTGGTCATGCTGAGGAGCTAGGCTCGGGCCACTGTAGCACACTGATCCCCCGCTCAGCAGTGCTTTGCTGGCGCTCCTGAGCTCACAGCCCCATCAACTGAGCATTCTTCAGAAACCCATTCCCTCACACTGACTGTGCCAAACCTCACTTGACACTTTTTTGAGTATTCACAGCCCTGCTAGTTGTGATCTGTCCATGACTTTGTGAGGGTTTGATGTCATCTGTCTCCATCTCTTCTGGTCTACCTTTTATCTTATGGAAGCAGCAACATTTTATTGCATTGTCAAGACCTACATTTGGGTCATTTATAAGAATCTTAACACTGAACCAATCACTAACCCTTAGGAAACTTCCCCTGCTAACATTCTCTCCAGAAAAATGTTTCTTTAGTCCCAAGTCTTTGTGTCCCAAGAATGACAAATTCCCACAATCTGATAGTAACTGATATTTTAAAATTTGCCTTAGTGGAGAAATTTTTGTCCTTAAAAGTCTCAACAAATTAGATCTTGTTCCCATGTTTCTTTTTATCCTCAAAAAACCAGAGTATATAAATCAAGCATGATTTCCTATAAAAGAAACCATTTACTTCTCTTCCAATAGGTTATGTTCAATTAAGACTTCAGTGATATCACTACTTCACTATTTTACCAACTTGTTAAATCAAGGTGAGTTAGCTGATACCTTCTGCCAAATCAACACAGCCTAAACCATACCACATGGATGGATGAAGGCAGAATTTTGAAGAATTAGGAAAGGGAAATCCAGATATATTGAAGGGGGTTTTTGCTGCTGCTGCTGCTGTTGGTTTTTACTTACATCAAAATTACATGATTTTTAAATAGTAATAGAGGGGAGTGAGAGGCAACAGGTTGAGATGTTTATGTTAATTAAGATTTAAACACATTTTCAGTTCCCAAATGACCAAGTGCTCAGGTGAGCAAAATCAGGATGCTGGGAAAGAAGATTACCATGAACCTCAGGAAGACAGAGGAGTTGACTTCTCAGGTGCAACTGCAGAAGAAGGGCAGGAGCCTGGAGGGCTCAGGAGCCTAGAGGGCTCCCGTGTTGACCGTACCTCATCCTGCCCTCACCCTAGCTGAGAGTGAACATTTTTTTCTTGATTTAAATTTCAAATAAATTATGTTACAGAAAGTAAAGATGATATGGCTTAGTCACAACTGCTGTTTACTTTCTTCCACAGCATCACAATGATGAAATTACAACAAAAGGAAGCTTGACCCTGAAAAATCTGATTGTAACATCTGCCAAGATGATCTGAGCCTGATTCCCATTCCAAAGCAGGCAGAGTCCGGGTCTCCCTTATTCTTGTGCCTCTCTACCCACCCTCCCCTTGCTGAGCTATTTCCTGTTCTCTTCCACTATAAAGTTCTGGTCAACAACTTTTCAGGTCTGCTGCAGGATGCTCTGGGACACGAGATCTTTGGTGGGTCTGTGGGTGGCATAGGAAATGAGTACTTTCAATTGTTCAGACAGGCTGTGAAGGAAGCAAAAATCTCCACCATGAAACCAAGAAGTGAAATGGCCCTACCATGTGGAGAAGATTCCACCTAGTGTGCAGAAGGCCAAAAGGCTTTAGCTTTATACAGGCAACAAATGATGCTTGAGCCATGTACAAAGCGACCCCAGTTTCCTGGGATGCAGTCAAGCTTTGCCCTATCCTCTATCCAAGCTAGAAAAGCTAGCGGAAAGTGCACCCAGGAGGCGTGCACTGAGTACACCCGGTCCCTCCTGCATCCTCAGCAGATCATTCCAGTGCTGGAAGACGCCCTCTGTCCCAGGTGGTGCTACTGCTGGTGATCTCTTCTCTCCTTGGCACAGACGGCTGAGCCTCTGCTATCAGAGCTCAAAGAGGGGGTTATATTTCCTAATCTCCTGAAGAAGTTTCTCTTTATCCTGGTTAGCACTGGCCAATGCTTGTTTAGTTTCTATAAGTTCTTTTTGTAGGGTAGGCAGTTCATTCACCTGAGGAATAATAAGCATTTCACAGTTAATGAACATGGTAATATCACCTTGCAATAATAGCCAGTAAAGAGAGCAGGAAGGAAGAATTCAAGCAGAAAAAATCCACAAGTCACTATCAAGAGACCTCAGCCAGATCTCCTCTAAGAACGCTTTTCAGAGTCCATCAGTTGAGGGACAGCAACCACATGCCTCCAGCTCCTGGCTTACGTCCTCTGGCCAGCAATTCCAGAAGCTGCTGCCAGGGGACAGGAGACCAAACCACCCAGGTGC